GCCTCATCCAGCCATCCCTTCCCAGCCTCATGCCAGCCTGCGTTTTCCACATGGGGAGGCTGCACTGAGAAATCTCCTTTTTCTCCTTCATCCAGCCATCCCTTCCCAGGACAAGGTGCATCCCAAGGCTTTCCTGACCCCGGGGTTTGGATGACGGAGTCTTAAACACCCTGCAAATGCTCTCTCTGAATTTTTCCTGAAGTATTTCCTTGCAGCTGGCGTGTGTTTTAATTGAATTTTGCCATTTGAAAAATACATGAAGCTCTGTAATGGAGGGAGAGAAAACCTTCCCTTCTATAAGAAGAGAAAGATGCATTTAAAGAGGAAAATAAACCAGCCCCAAAGCTGCCTGATGAAGTATTGACCTGGAGACAAAGTGGATCAGATGGAGCCGATCTGGCCCCTTAGGAAAACTTGAGGCTGTTCATTAGGGATGAGCTCACTGCCAGCTTAACCCCATCCTCACCATCCCCAGTGAAACCTGCGGGAAAAATGCCAATTTCCAGGTTTTCCATGGAAAAAAGGGTCCATATGGTGAACCTTCTTTTGGAGACTGGATAATGGGAGAGCTCTGGGTGTGGGATGGAGGAGAGCTGAGCATCCCTGCATGGGATCCCAACAATAAAACAGGAATTTCATACTTCCCTCAGCCAGGTTTTGGGTTCAGGGAAACGAGAAGTTTGCTTGGAAAAGAACAGCCAGACCTGCCATGTGAATTTCAGGAAACAGACCTTCTTTCCCAGAAATCTTACCCATAGGATGCTTTTTAATATTCCCAGTAATGTGGATTTCTCCCTTTGACCCCTTTGCTCAGTGTCTGCTGCTTGGTTTTTATTGGAATGTACTTTCTGTACAAAAATGCTGGAATAACAGGAATAAGGGTGGCAAATCCCTCTCCTGGAGGGATTCAAATGGATGGAGAAGGACTCACCAGTGATCCAGGTTTCTTGTGGCTCCAGGTGCCATCCTGGCAATTCCAGGTGTCACATTTACAGCTCAGAAACCTTTCTGGCCTTCCATAAACTTGCTCTAATTTCCAGCCTAATTTTAAAGCTCTTTGTCCCACTTGTTCTCCTGCCAAAACATTCCTGGAACCAAAACACCTCTCAAGCCTCACCTGGTCTGAATTTTGCTTCCTTCCTTCCTGAATCCCTGAGGATTTTGCTGGGAGTTCACCCCTTTTTGGCTAAGCCAGCCCCCAGCACTGGGTTTGCAGCAGAACCCTTGGATCCACTCCTTTCCCACTCCAATCCAGCCCGGAATCACTGTTGGAATTCCTAAAAAGCCAAGTTCTTCCTTGCAAAATCAGTTGATTCCAGCTTCTTATAGATTAGCTGGAGCTGATAAACTTGGCATTAGGAAGCAGGCCCAGGTATTATCCCTTCCCCTGTCAGCTCCGGCCAAATCACAGGAGATCTGCAAAGATTCCCGGGAATTTGGTTGGTTGGGATTTTTCCCTGCCTTCTGCCAGCTCCCCTTGCCAGTTTGACCACTTGCCCGCTCATCCTCCGAGAAGAGTGAGTCAGCTTGGCAAAAAATTAATAAATAAAATATTCCTGGCCCCAGCAGGGACTCTCTGCCCTGAGACCCAAAACGGGGGCTCAGGAGCCACAAACCATCCCGGCTTTCCCCCCTCTGGCTCTTCCCAATCCCAGTCTTTGCCTGAATGCCCTCCCCCAGCTCAGCTTGGATAGGGAAGTGCACTAAAATCCTGGAATCGTGGAATTGTTCAGTTGGAAGGACCTTAAAGCCCATCCCATTCCACCCCTGCCGCGGGCCAGGCCCGGGTTCCTGGATCCATCCCAGCCGGAGGAGGAGGCTGGGGATGCTCAGAGGTGGGAGGAATTAAACAGCTCCTCTTGCATCACTCTTCCCTCCATCCCATCATGAGCCCACAGGAACAGGATGATCTTTAAGGTCCCTTCCAGCCCAAACCACCCCATAATTCTGTTTTATCGGGAAGGCCCCAGCCTTATTTTCACCGTGGTCTCCAGTTTGGCCTCTCCATCCCAGGAAAAGATTTATGGCGGCACTTAGGGAAGGAGGAGCAGAGCGATGAGATCAGGCCCTGTCCATGTGTCAGGGAGGAAAAAAACCCCACTTTTCCAGGGAAATAAACTCCAGGCAATTAAATGGGAATTAAGATTTAGCGCACGCCACGAGCAGCAGGCGTGGAGAAAGGAGACAGCTGGTAAATTTAGGATGTGACAAAGTCATGCGAGCACTAACTGGATTACTGGCATTTATTTGGGAATACTTATGGATTTTATTATGCAACGTATGGATCTCCATAATTCTGCTTTTCACTCCTCCCAGCGTCTCAGGGAGCTTTACAAACAATTAATCGGCGGTGTTCCGTGCGCTCCGGGGAATCCAGTGTATCCCATCTGCTCCGGGGAATCCAGGCCATTCCATCTGCTCCAGGGAATCCAGTGCATTCCATCCCTCCCCGAGTGTGTTTTGGATCAGAGGTGGCTTCATTGATGTGATTGATTTTTAACCTTTTCTGAGCCAAAGCCCCAAGTTTTCATTTTTGAAATTCCCTGCGCTTCCAGGGCTGACCCTGGGCGTCCTGAGCAGATCCAGAAGTCTCGGGAGTGAGTTTTCCAGGGATGGAAATGCATCCATCCCCCAGGGATGGTGATTTTAATCCATTTTGGTTGGACAACAGCAGGAATTTCCCCATGGAAAGGGGGATCAGGAATTCGAAGTGCCCAGGGAGGGTTGGAGTGTCCATCCCTGGAGGTGTCCCAGGAATTCCTGGGTGTGGCACTCAGAGCTCTGGGCTGGGGACACAGTGGGCACAGCTTGGATTTGGTGATCCTGGAGCTCTTCTCCTCCCTCAAGGATCCCATGGTTCCATCAAGGGGGTGTTGAGTGCTGAGAGAGGAGCAGATCTGAGGCGATCCCAGAACCCTGGGCCGGGGTGGGGGCTCCGTGGGGGCTCCTCCAGCTGTGCCACCACCCTGTGTGCCCCAGCCCCCTGGAACAGCACAGGCTGCTGCTCCAGCCTCCTTCCCTGGCAGGCAGAGAGGGATGAGAGCCTCCTGCCGCCTCTCCAGGGAGGAGTGTCGGGAGCAGAGCGTAATCCTGGCTGCTGAGCGCGGGCCAGGCGCTCACAGACGTTGTTAATCCTCGGCTGGGGCCAGCAGGGACCTGGGAAAAGGCTGCAGTGAGGCAGGGACCAGCCCAGCCCCGGGCAGCTCCCAGGCCAGGGCACGGCACGGGGAAAAATGGATGGAGGATCCTCAAATCCACATCCCTGAGGAGCTGCCCTGGAAGATGGCAGAGGTTTAATGAGCTCAGAGAGGCAGAATGTGAATTTTAACCTCCTGGCGGCTCCGATGGTTTCATCCACAGCTTTGATGCCCCAGCCTTTCCCACAGGACGTGCTGGTGTCAAAAATGAGGATGAAAAGAGACCTGGAGAGTGACTTTGACAGGGCATGGAGGGACAGGACGAGAGGGAATGGCTTTAAGCTGAAAAAGGGTGGATTTAGATGGGATATTGGGAAGAAATTCCCAAGATCTGTGAGGGTGGGGAGGCTCTGGCACAGGTGCCCAGAGAAGCTGTGGCTGCCCCTGGATCCCTGGAAGTGTCCAGGGTTATTCCAACCCAGACTAATGGAAGCTGCTCATGGCAGGGGTTGGAAAGAGATGGATTTTAATGGATTTCCAACCCAAACCATTCCATGATTCCATGAAAAACAGTCTGCACCTCCTCTCCCAGCAGTTTGGGGCATCCCTAACAGAGCAGGGCTGGGACACCTTTGTCCCCTCCTCTGACCCCACTGAGCAGGGAGAGCGCTGCACTCCAGGCAGGTAAAATCCCATTGAAACCAAATTTTTGGGTGCATCAATCAGGGAGAACCCTCAGGATCACCACAGCCCCTCCAGCACCTCCAATAACTCTGGAAAACAGCTCGGATTCACATCCAGGGCTACTCCAAAGCAGCCAAGGGCTGGGAATAAAGCATTTATTAGAGCAAAGAGGCTGGAGGAGCGTCAGGAGCGGAACCCAGGTGACAGCACAGCCACACTCACACCCTGTTCCCCAGCCCTGGCGACGCTTCCAACCAAAGCAGGCACATTCCTGGCCCTGTTTTCCATTTTTAGGAGCCTGTCAAAAATGGCACTCCCTCTCCACGCAGATGTCGAGAAATTAGAGGGAATTCAGAGAGAGGCAGAAAAAAAAAAATGATTAAAGGAGATGGAGGGCCTGATTTTGGAGGGAAAAGAAATCAGTGGAGTTATTTATAACCCTGCCTGCACCGGGGTGGGAGCAGGAATTTTTGAAAGTGCCTGGATAGCTCGGATAAGGGGGAAAAAAGGGGCAAAGCAACCTCCGGAGGATGCTCTCAGAGAAGCTGTAAATCCTGAGTGATGGGATGAAATGCCATCCAAAAAAAGCCCTTGGGGAATCATGGGCGAGTGCAGGGGACAGTTGTTGATCCAGAGGGAAAGAAATGCCCTGATCAGAATGTGTGAAGGGATGGTGGAGGCGGCACCGGAGCCGAACCCCCCGCTCCTACCTCTGCTCCCAGTATTTATTTACATCCAGCATTTTACGCAAAACGTGGGGGTGGGCGTGGAAATGTTCCGGGTTTTTTGGTGGGTTTTTTATTTTTTTTCATCCCCAGAGCAAACGGGTTTGGTTAAATAAAAAAAAAAACCACAAAAAAACCCCAAAAATCAGCTTTAAATTCAAGCCTGGGGGCTCGTGGGAGATGTGCATGGAGAGGCTGCTGGGATGGGGTGGGAAATGGGATGGAGGGATGCTGAGGGAACAAATCCTCCACCTGGTTCTGAATTTCCTGGGTGATTTCCAGGCTGAGGAGCAGCTCATGAAGGTGTTGGAAAATCCCCCATTCCCCAACCAGCCCCATGCTCTGCTGGCAGCTCCTCCCTCACAGCCAAAGGGATTTGGAGGAATCTGTGGGGGAAATTTGGGGTTTTCCGTGGCTGCCTAACGGGGTCCTGGTGTCTGGTGTTGCCTTGCAGGACCTCTCACTCCAGGGCCAAGGCGGAGGCGGCCGTGACGGCGGCACAGAAAGCTCAGGAGGAAGCGCGGATCGCCAGGATCACTGCCAAAGAGTTCTCGCCTTCCTTCCAGCACAGGGAGAACGGTCAGTCCAGGAGCCGCCCCTCGGAGCCCTGCACAGACCCCAAACCCCCCAAAACTCCCCAGCCTGGAGGCTGTGCCCACAGCTCCTGATCCCCACCGGAGCTCCTGGAGTGGGAAAGCTCCATGGAACACCGGCTTTTGGGGGATTCAGGACAGGGCTGCCAATATCCAACAATTCCACCTTATTCAGCACTTTTTTCCCGGTATTCCCTCTTTTCCCCCAGTTTTTTAGTTCATAGCCCTTGGTGGTTGCACAGAAGATCCCAGCAAGAGCTCTGGATACAAACACAGATGGTCCCAGAGGCCAGCACTGGCCTTTCACCCATGGCTTGTGCGGTTCCTGATTTCTTTGGAAAGTTTGGACCCAGTGGGACCTGACCCTTCCTTCAGCCGTGCAAATTGTTTGTGGTTTCCTCCCTCCCTCCCTCCCTCCCTCCCTGCCCCCCTTGTACAGGATCG